GAGAAAAGAAAAAATGAAAAAATGAAAAAATAATAATAATAAAAATGAGAAGAAGAAAAAGAATAAAAGAAAATTGAGAAAAAAGAAAAAAGAAAAATGATGGAAAAAAATGAAAAGAAAAAAGAAAAAATGGAAAATGGAAGAAAAAATGAAAGAGAAAAATAAAAAAATGAAAAAGAAAAAAAAAGAAAAGAAATAAAGGAGGGTTCAAGATGAAAATCCGCAAAGGGCGTCTTGAAACCAAAGGAGGTCTCAAGTTGAAAACCTGTAGAGGGCGACTTGAGTTTTAAATTCAGAATTCGTGCATGGTGGAGGTTCTGAATCAATTCTGGAAGTGGAAAGAGCTCCTGATATAGATAGTAACAATGACAGTTGGTGATCAGGGTTGAGACTAAAGATTAGTGAGTCTCGATTGAAATAACCAAGAGAAATTGAATGCACATGAGATTCAATACTGGTTTAGGGCATCTAATGATAGAGATTTGGGAGTTTAGAAGTAGCTTCATACTCTTAAGCATCACAATTTTGGAGATCCTTTTGACAGAAGCTACACTCAAGACTTTCTAACGGCGTGCCAGTTCAAAAGCATTTGCATTATTGATATTTGAAGATGCCTACTCTTTTGTTCTTTTGCTTTTCTCAGTTAAAAGTTTGCCATGTAGTTACTTAAAGATTCTCTGCATATATAAATAAAATGGGTGTCTTTTCTTGTTAATTTCCATTTTGCAAGCATCTTATTTTGAAAAGTTAAAACATATAGCTTAACTTGAAGTGCATGAGATCATTTTGTATTATTGTGCAAAAGGTTTTGGAAAATACAGGTATTCTGAAGCTGACAATGGTTGATACATGTAAGCTTGTGTGGCTACGGGAAACTAAAACCTTGGAGTTCATAGAAAATCTCAGCCATTAAAAGATGACCTAAGGAGATTGTCAATAATTAAGAGGTTGGTTATGGGTACCAATGGGTTTTCAGAAAGAAGGAAGTCAAGGTCCTGTTAAACCGAAGGATATGGTATTGAGATTGTTAACTGGGGTGAACTGGTCATATGTTCTGTGCCCAAGACGAAACCGAGTTCCATTGAGATCAAAAGGAGATAGAGTTCATTCGAAGATGGACACACATTGAATTGCATGGCCTTCGAAACAAGTCAAACTTAAGCCTTCACGAAAGAATTGTGAAGCAATTCAAACTTAAGACTTCACATAAGAGTGGTGAAGCAAATCATATATAAGCCTTCAGGAAAGAATAGTGAAGCAAATACGTTTGCTGAAGATTGTTCGAGTTCTATACTCTCTGAAGGAATAGAGAGCGGACCCGTTTTATGAAGATTGTTCAAGTTCTATACTCTCGGAAGGAATAGAGAACGAACCCGTTTTATGAAGATCGAGTTCTATACTCTTGAAGGAATAGAGCGCGAACACGTTTTATGAAGATTGTTTGAGTTCTATACTCCCTGAACGAATAGGGAGCAGACACATTTGTTGAAGATTGTTTGAGTCCTATACTCTCTGAAGGAATAGGGAGTGGACACGTTTATTGAAGATCGAGTCTTATACTCTCTGAAAGAATAAGGAGCGGACCCGTTTGTTGAAGATTATTCGAGTCTTATACTCCCTGAATGAATAGGGAGCAGACACGTTTGTTAAAGATTGTTTGAGTCTTATACTCCCTGAATGAATAGGGAGCAGACATGTTTGTTGAAGATTGTTTGAGTCTTATACTCCCTGAATGAATAGGGAGCAGACCCGTTATTTGAAGATTTTTCAAGTATCACTTCTCTTGAAGTAACAGTGGAATGGTTTAATCTTTTGAAGTTCTCATGACCGGACAAACTCGATCATCTTTTGATCTTTGCTCTATTCTCGTTACACAACAATGAGCAAAGAGGGGCAGCTGTAGATGCTCATTTTTATCCTAGTCTAGGTCGGAGCGGCCCCAAGCAAACCAATTACAGGCCCCATTCAAGCCCAATGGACAGCAGATATATGCACAAGAAGAGAGCAATTTGAGGGTTGGTTTTTAGTAGTTTTGGTTTTTAGGAAATAACCACCCATCATCAGTAAAAAGAGATTAACTACTGGAAACTATAGAGCATGGGTGGGGGCATTACACAAAAAAAAAAGGGGAGAGAGCAACAAAAAATAAAAAGGAGAACGATAGAAGAGAAGAACCGGAGAACACACAAGAAACGGACAGAGAACCAGAAACGAAGGGAAGCATTTCAGAAAATAAAGGACTAGGAGCCGAGGACCCTGTTAGATATCAACGACTTCATAGTGTAAAGGAATACAAAAGGAAAAAGTGGTGTAATTTCAGAATTAAAAAAAAAAACAGATAAAGCAATTAAAATACACACTTTACGAGGTATTTTTTCTTCCATTATTTTTGATTTCCATCTGTTTTTTTTTATGCTATTATTATTCAAACTGAAAATAGAGAGGCATTAGGAATTCACTTGGATTATTGATGTTAGTCTTAGTAAATAACACATTTTGAATCAAGCAGTCGAGAACGAGAAAGGAGAGAAATTAGCTTTGTTTTACCTAATTCTGCATCGAGTCTCATTGGGGAGGGGAGTCGAGTTTTGTTGTCCAGACTAAAGATTGTTCCTCTGGGGTCATCTGAGGTAAAGGAATCGAGAGAGAATTTACAAACAGACCTCATATGACCTGCCCGATTCTTCAAAAAAAAAAATGATCCATGTTAGAGTTTTCTTTCATATTCGGAAATTAAGCAGTACAAAATCAGAAGTTTCTAAATTATTTTTTACTTTCTTCGAAACCTCGAACAACCCATTTCTTACATTTTTTCTGAAGCCAAAACAGAGTATTAAGAAAGTGGGGGTCCTTTTACCTTAAGTATGGATGTCCATCATCGGAGTCAAACCCACTGTTGATGGTGGCCGGGCAAGCGTGAGGCAGTGGGGACTCTTGGTGGCGTTCATGTGAGCTTGAGAGAAAGGGGTTGGGAGTGGAAGGAAGCTATAGTGAAGGTTTAGGCTCGGTTCAGAGGTGAGAATGAGAAGGATGAGAGAGTAGAAGAGAAACGGCGATGGTGGTTCAAGGATGAAGGCCACGGGAGCCTTATGTTGTCTAGGGTTAGGGATAAATAAGGTTGGGAGAAAGAGATAGAGAAGATGAGAAGAACGACTGAATGGATGTTTAAGTTTAGTAAATTAACTTAGGTTTTTTCTTTTTTTACTTAGATTACATATTAAATTTTTGGGTAAATTAGATTTTGTCCTCTTAAGTTTAGTTTTTGCATTTCCGTTACTGTTGAAGTCTGTTTTCGAAATTTGACATTTTAAGTTTGTCCTGATTTTGTTATTTTGCAAATTTTGGTTTTAGTTAAAATTTTTGGATTATTTGAGCTATTGTTCATGGAGTTTTCTTCTAAATTCATTTTAGTCCCTAATCGAACGTTTTCATGTATTTAATTTTATCCCTTTATTTCACCTGCATTTAATTTCGGACCCAGTAGTATTATTATTTAACTTTTTTTAGACATTTGAACTCTAATTTTTTTCTTTTAGTCCTTAAACATTTAGGACTAGTATTTTAGGAAAATTACATAGAGATCATTTAATTTGGGTTATTTAGGTGTAGATCCCTTATTATGTGTGTTGTTTTATTTAAGTCCTTGGTTTAATTTTTGATTTGCATGTTTAATTTTATGTGTATTTAAATTTAGCCATTATTTATATATATATATTATATATATTAAATTTATAGTTTAGCATGTCATGTTTTCGTTTTTGTATTTAAGTCACATTGTATACATAATATGTTAATATGCATGGTTTATGATTTTAATTAAAATATGTATATATAATTTTTTGTATGTCACGTTGTATGATATTTTTAATTTTGTTTAATTAATTTTGACATGACATTTTTTTGCACGATTCGCATGGTAACCTCATTTGCATAACTCGACATATTACATAATCGGGACTAAGGGTAATACCCTTTTAATTTAAATTGTTTTAAGTGGGCAGTCATAACTGATTTGAGGTCCGCTTTTAATGATTTTAAAATAAAAGTGTATCCCGAAAGTGAAACAAAAAAAATTGATTCGTCACCTAAAATTTGGGAATGAGAGAAAAGGAAATGTTCGTTTATTTAAATATATCGAGAAAAGGTTGTTATATCTTTAAGATCTGGTCTCGATATTTGTAAATAATCGAACATTCTTTATCTTTCTAAAACGACTTGGTATTTTAATTTAATTGTTTGAGTGCTTTTGAATGTTTTTAAATTTACGTCATTGTTTATGGATCAAAAATCAAAATAAATTCGAATTTATAAAGTTCATTGCAAAGACGTTAATTAATCGACTAGGTATCGATTAAGGGCGTTGTGGGGGTGCTAATCCTTCCCCACACGTAACCGACTCCCGAACTCGGATTTTGGTAACGCATACCTCAATTTGTGATTTTAATTAAAATTAATTTTTATTTAAAATGACAAAGCATTTTTGGGTGCTCAATCACACCTTAATCAAAGATTGGTGGCGACTCTTCAAACCGTATTTTTCGATCGTAAAGGAAATTCAAAATTTTTCGGAACGAGGAGTCTTTTAAATCGCATTTGTTTTTAAATAAAAAATCAATTGAACAAAATAAGTTAAAAATTGATGTGGTTTTCAAAATCTCACATTTTTTCACATTTTGAGGGAATAATCGTTTCGACACTACGTCCATGGCAAACTTATTGTTCTATATAGATTACGTTCAGACTGACAATCTGTATCTGTTTTTACTTTTAAATAAAATGGGAAACAAAATCTTTAAGCGACTAACTTGAGAGTACCCATGTTGTAAGATGCTGGCCCAATGAGAGCAGGCTCAAACTTGGAATCGCCAATACAATTCTGATCTTACCAGAACAATATGAATGTCGAACTTTAACTTTGTATACAAATCTGTATGTTGGTTACATATTTGAGATGTTAACATTTGTTTCTGCTTCCGAGATTAGGTTTCCTATTTCCATTAATGTTTTGGTCAGCATTTCACTTATCGGTTTTGTCTCTGACTTACATACAGACACTGGAGCTTATTCAACAGGAAAAAATGAGCTTATCTTCCAGACTAATAGAAAAGAGGTATTTCAAAGTGATCTTATGGCAGTTTAATCAGCAGCTTGCATTGTGATGACTATGAAAACTGAAAACTGTCTTAAACTCTTAGGATGACACATAATTTGTTGATCAGCATGCTATCTATTATTATTTAATTTGTGGGCTTGTTTGTCCTTTTTCTGGAAAAAGGTCATATGTATTGACATGTTGATCAACATATGAGCAGTACTTAGTTGTGTTTGTGCTAAGGATTTGAAGAAGCTGTTTGACTGATATTAGTGTCAATGAACTGTGTATTTTTTTATGGATAACTGCAGTTATTGATTTAAGATGTTAGTTTTCTGGTGTCATATGGCAGGGTAGTCTATATCATATGTGCCTTCGGATATAGGTTTTGGGTTAAACCTTATCGATTGCTTATGTTCACATTCTTTTATATGCTTGATTTATCTTTCATAATTTGAATGATTGGTCTTGATTCATGGTTCATTGCACAACTTTGATGAATCCCTATCTTCTTTATTATGATTACAGTGCTTACTACTTCAAGGTGGTCGAGGATCTTTCCTCCAAATTGCAGCAACAACAGGTTTGAGTTCCATATTCCACTTCTAGGTTTCTGAGTTTCGCACTCACCTCTTCAACATGCAGTTGATGTTATCCTCTTCATTTGTGCGTAGGACTGGGTCATTTATCAGAAAGGAAGACAAATGGAAGAGCATGATTTGGTACTCTGCTAACCTTCTATGCTTTTCTTTGTTTAGGAATAAGAATCAATTAAGAAAGGAAGCAGAAAAGGGACAGGCAGAAAAGGGACAGGCAGTATAGGAAAAAGACACGATTCTTGTCTAACAGAACTGGTCTACTCAACTCTTTTTAATCTTGTACAAACTTTTTGAGCTTCTGACTTATATTGTTGAGTCCAACTTGACTGAATAAGTAATGAAACATGATATCATATGCGGTAATTCTTGACTTAGATTGGTTTTCTCAGGTTTTGTATAAGTTGTATCACTTCTGGTCTTGGGCATCTCCTTAAGCATGTATATTATATATAATGTTTGAATGCACATGTTTAATATGAAAAATCATGTAAAAGTTCAGTTCGTTTGTGCTAGGCGATCCACATGAAATTAGTTTAAATATCTTTTTTTGAGCTGATCTGGTTAATAAATTCCTAAGTTTGCTTTTGAGAATGGAAAAGAGAGCCTTATGCATCTACAATATTCAAGAATTACCTTATTTATAAATCAACCTTTATTGATGCCATAAGCTGCTCATTTTATTAATTTGTCATTTTGAATGATTTTTTCATCCGAGTAACCTCTTAAAGATCTGCTCCAGACAAGTTGCTAAGCTTTATCTTTCTAATTTTGACATAATTTTGCTAACTCGAGTTTTGTGTCACTTCTTGTTACTGTAATAATTTATTATTATTATTAAATTCTAATTATTAGCATCTTCAGGTCAACAAGAAACTTGATGAGAAAATGACTGAATCTGAAGGTTTGGCTTCAAAACTCATCTCCATATATTTTTTGAGGATGTTGACGAAAACGGGTAAAGAAAACAAAAGAACACGAGAATTTTACGAGGTTCGGCAATGTGCTTACGTCCTCGGTGCCTAGGCGGCGCTAGAAGTTTTTATTCAATGATATTTTAGGTCTAGGTTACATCTCTATTTATAATAGAAAACCCTGGTACATAATTACAAAATTAACCCTGTACCGTACCGCGGGGCTACGCCCCCGCACCCCCAACCCACATAATTCGTAACCCCACAACGAGACTTTCTTTGTAAGGACAATTGATGTTCGCTTCGCTCACTCCGCTCCATCTCCTGTCCTCTTTACTGGTATATTTATGAGCCATACCTAACAGAGGATTTCTTTTGTCTTTTTCCATTGTTATGTAGGTTATGCTTTCAAGTTTTCTTGTAAAAATATTTTTTTGTGGCTCTTATATTCACCTCTCTTTGATATCCCATTATGAATGGCTTCTTTCCTGCTATCTGTTATGATGACTTGCACCCTTCTAGAATTCAATTGGTGGCATATTATACACAATGCATAGTCTGCTCTATATATCATTAGACTCAGTCTAGGCAAGTTGGTGCCATATATTGGTTGGCAGAAAATCTTGCACTGATTAGCATAGTCACGCCAGAAAGAGCTGTTATCAAATGATGATATTCAGCAAGTACCCTTTAGATTTCTCATTACTTTTGGATACTCTAGAACATGATCTTATTATTTAAGGATTTCTTTTCCGTTATCAAGATCATATGGCTTCAGGACTGTTCATTATTCCTCTATGATGAAGTTATACTAGATTTATAGAAAGGAAGAAAGAGGTAATCAAAACTTAAAGAGTTTGTCAATGATACAAAATTTCCCTTTAATTTCGCATTATATAAAACCTATATGAAAATTCATGAATGTCAGAATGTCAGAATGTCTGAATAATATCTTAAATAGGATGCTAAGTATTTACTTTTACCAAACTGCTATGCTCTATTAGAAATTTTGGTGATTTGCAAAATTGATCTTTATACTGTGTCAAATGTCAATTATTTCATACCGTTTTGGGTTTACCTTGCAGGTAATCTTAATGTTGGAAACTCTATGCTTACGAATAATGAGGTAAATACCCTTACACCAACAACTGAGATTTAAGGAGTTGGTTTGTTCTAATTATTCCTCTAAACCAGGAAAATGAGGCAATGACCTGATTGTGAAGTTGGACTTAGAAATAGCCAAGCTAGATGGGATTGTACAAATGAAAGCCAAACTTGTGAGAGATAATTGCAAGGTTAGTAAAGAAACTTAAACGGCTGTTCCACTGGATGGGCTTAATCTTCATCAATTTATTCTTTTGTTTCCTAATATTGAGGGAAAATTAGAAAAAGGGAAAAAATCTTTTATGGCTGGATTTCAATTTATTTGAATTTTTATTTAATTAGGATTCAAATCAGAATCACCTTTTCACTTCTCTTTTTCCTTTTCCCACTGATTACGTACATGCTAATTCCTTGGAGCCTTGGACACGATTACATCACATGAACAAAACATGGAAAAAATATGATGTGAAATGAAAAATTAACCTAACATGAAAAAAATGCAGGAATGTGTCAAAATCTAGATATCATAAATATTAGCACATCGAAATTTATATAAATGTATAACACCTTAACCATGATTATGATAGGAAAATACAAGAACACTGCAGGAATACAGGAAGCAATTCCTTTTTGCTAAAGTGAACAAGTTATATTTAAGATATTTCATCACGGAGGAAAGCGAATATCTCCATCTGTCTAAAGTACTAAGTAGTTTGCTTTCTGTATTTACAAAGGAAGTTCAGTTTTGGGTGCCTTGTTTACAATTTTGATTGTTCTATTTTAAGCAAAAATATTTCTGGAGGTAGTTTTCCTACTGTTTGGCCTCTTTAGCATTCTGTTAGCCTCTTCCTCACCCTGATGAAAGGAGGTTTAAATAAAAAGAAAAATGCAAATAGAAAGAAATGCCAAAGAAGTTAACACATCTATGGTTTTCCGCTTTCAGATTAAGGAGTCTATTGAGCAAACAAAGCGCGGGGCAAACCGTTTAAAGGTGAATTGCTTACTGAAATTCGTACATGCAACTGTATGGTTGTTTACGAGCATGAAAGTTTATACAATTAATACTGGCAAATGGTTGATTGATTACCATGGATTCATCTCTGAAACAAGTTTATTAACCACTTGATGGTAACCATTTCCAGACTTTTACTTACATAATACAAAATAATATGATATGAAATGGGTGCATGCTTGATGCTTTTATGTATAGTCTATTTTATGTAGTTGATACTTTTCTGTTTTCAAATATTTTAAAGGGTGAATGAAAGTCCTTCAGGAAAATGTATATATAAACTGTTTTATTAAAAATATTATCTTAGAAATCTGTGACGGTTTTCTTGTATCCTTACAAAGTTTGTTTGTAACTGTAGCCAGAGCTGTGGGAAATAAGTATAATGACACTGGAAGAAGAATACGAAGCTCTTCTATCAGATAAAGATGGAGAAACTGAGTATCTTTGCTCACTGCAGAACCAGGTTGAACAAATAAAGGTAGATATATGTTTCAAATTATGCTTTCTGTTTCATGAAGTGGCCTTAAGATGTGATAATTCAGATGGTTGAATACAGAAACGAACGTAGGATTTCATGTAAGAGGGTGTGAACTCAAGAAGTTATATTAGAAATTTAGGAGATGCGGAATTTTTTAATTTCAGGCGTACGAAACTATATAATAAATAGAAAATATAAAAAAATGCATAAATTATATGAAAATTTAAAATTTTCATGGTTGACCGCACCCCAGCATCCCCTCAGTCCATCCCTGTTTAATGTTCCTACTTCCCACCACCCAGATTGTTCCCTTGCATGAGAAAATTGATGATTCCATCTCTGGCTTTTTTAACTCTAAACATATCCATCTTAAAAGTCTCAAAGACCATTTTTTTTTTACTTCCTTGCCCTTGCAAGATAATGAATAGGTGCGCGTCCATGTTTTACAGGGAATTTCTCTTGCGATTAAATGTGCCTGTGGAGAAGAATACATGTTGGATCTTCGTGACTGATCGGATAACTTCAAAAATGAAAAAGAGGTAATATCTGCTACAGGTAACGCATAACACAAAACTTATGGGCAAATATGGTAAAATGTGAATAGATGCTATGGTCGATGGTGTAAATTTTTTGTAGTTACCTGAGAATTATGTTAGACGACAGGCTTGAACCAAGGGATCATATACGGTAAATGCTGTAAATTTTACTGGAGATTGAAAATCAACACATTTCATTGCTTTCATCTTTTATTTATGGGAAATCTTGTTATCTCTTACCGTGCCAATGTTTGGCTCGGGCGCTGTATTACCAGTTACCCGCCTCGGTCATTATAGTCCTTGCATTTATATTAAAGTTTGAAGCTTTTTGTAAAATACATATTTTCTTAAATATTTTTTATATTTAAAGTTAAATTTATTTTTTTAATGCAACCAATGGATTTAATTGATTAAACCATTTATCTCATATCGGAAGGTCCCACTAGTAGAACCTCTAATCTGGCTTTTTAAACGTAAGTTCGAGTCTACAAGATCATGTCTTCCTCGTCCCTTCAAAGGTGGAAGATGACGTTACACACCGTATAAAGGCGGGATGGTTAAAGTGGAGGGCTGCTACTGGAGTTTTGTGTGACAAGAAGGTGCCTCTAAAACTTAAGGGAAATTTTTATAGAATGGCAATAGGACCAGCGCTGCTGTATAGATCAGAATGTTGGGCAATCAAGAAGGATCACGTAAGGAGGATGGAGGTCGCAAAAATGAGATTCTTCGATGTGCATGTGGTAGGACTCTGTGGGACATGACACCAAACTCTGCTATTAGGATGTCCTTAGGGGTGGTGCATGTATCCGAAAAATTGAGAGAGGGAAGACTACGGTGGTTTGAGCATGTCCGTAGGCGACAACCGTCGGATGCAGTCAAGAGGGTAGAGTCGATTACAGTTGACGGTGCCAGAAGGAGAGGACGACCAAGGCGGAAGTGGGAAGACTGCTTGAGATCTGATTTGAAGGATTTAGCCCTTCTGAGGACATGATCTCTGATAGGAAAGTATTGAGACTTAAGACCAGGGTAGCCGAGTAGTGCGGGTCACATCCATAGACTTTTTTTTTTACGTCTCTGTCATTGGAATTTATGAAGACTTAGAACTAGTGTAGCGGAGTAGTGTTGTCTTAGTTTAGGTTTTAACCCATTTGACTTTATTTCTTCTCGTTGCTTGCTATCGTTGACTTTCTGTGTACCCTTCTTGTAATGTTTCATCTTTTTAAATTTTGTCGGGTCTTACGTTTCTGTTTATATGCAAAGATTTTTTTCGCAAGGAATCATTTACAGGGATTACTTCCCATTACAGACGCGCATATAAAGACTGCATATGAAGACTGTTTCAACTATGTATTTATATATACATACATTGCATTTTATCTTTATTTTTAATTTTCTGACTGTCGGAGGTCTTCCACGGAAGCTGCTCTCAACCTGGCGTTGGGGGCAGCCTACTACCCTATCTCCTTTACCCCATTGCATATGGAATAGGGTTTTGTTGTTGTTGTTGTATTATCTTAAAAGAATTATTAAATTTAATTTAATATCTTAATAGGAGAAGAAATTATTTTTACGTACTTGGTTTTCGAAGATAAAAAATTAAAATTTTGGATCTATTTTTTTACTTCTAGATTGACCACTGTTATTGTATGAGAATGAACTATTTTTTTAAATTAAACGTTAATATCATTCAATTTTTTTTTAAAAAAATTATATATAACATTTAGTTTTAATTGCATTTTAAACACCCCTTACAAAAAAATAATGATGATGTTGTCATCATATGATAAAGTTACGCCATGTTTAAAAATAATAAAAAAATATAATGCTAGTAGTTTTATTATTTTTTAATAATAATAATTAAAATGTAACGTTAGTTATAATTTTAAAAGATAGTTAGATGACAAACGAAATAAAAGTGATAGTTAGAATACTAAATGTATAATTTATCCAACATTCATGATGAATTTTTTTAATTACATTATATTTTGAACAAAGGAATTAAATTATATAATTTTTGAACAATAGAATAAAATTATATTCCTTTTTTATTAATCTATGATACTTACAAGTGATATTATTTGTTCTAAAAACTCTCTATTATTTAATAATAAACAATTTAATATCCTGCTATATTTAATCTTAGGACCTCTAAAACAACAATCATTATCTTAAACAACAACGTAACTGAAAACTATTTCCCAAATAACAACCCAATCTACATAAACCAAGAAAAAAAGGTATTGGTTAGTTGCACTTCAATAATTGTAAAAGAAAGTTTCTTTTTTTATTAAATTGAAAAGAAAGTCACACTCAAATAACAACCCAATCTACACAAAATATTACCCAATTATATTTAAGGTTTATTTTTTTCCTATTTTACTCACAGTACTTTTAATTTTTCTAATTTACTTACTGAACTTTCGAATTGTTCATATTTTGATCTTTCTGAATTATTTTATTATTATTTTCATATGATGTGACATTTTTATTATTTAATATAAAATAATTAACAATATACAATAAAACAGAATGTTGCCGCCGTACACCATCACTGGCCGTCGTCAACCACCGGAGATGGCGGTCTTTCGATCCCAAATTTCAAGGGTTGCTTCGCCTCGATACTTTGAGTCTAAATCTGACCTCCATTTTTTCGAAACTTGCTCCGAAATCCACGAATTAGAGATGAAAAGTGAGAAAACCGAAATATTTCAATCGAGATTTATGGGGTTTGGGACATTTTTTGATTAAATAACTATTAGATTCGAACTCAGGGTTTGAGACGAACTGACTCATGAAATTTGAGATCGAATGACTACCATCTACGGTGGTTGAAGGTGACGTCCGACCACCTTCTATTTTTATTTTATATTTTCAATTACTATTTTATATTAAATAATAATAAAAATATTATGTCATACCAAAATAATAATAAAAAAATTGAAATAGGAGCCATTCTAAAATTTAGTGAATAAATTAAAAAAATAAAAATAGGATGAGTAAATCCTTGCATTTATTATTACATTTATATA